TTTTTTTATAACAATCACATAAGGATTTTGCTAACTCACAAGTGTTCTGAGCACACACACTGCAAAGCCTTTGTCTCCCTCTCTTGGGATGTAGGGACTTTCAAAAACTTTACCAGAGAGGGTCAATACTGGGTTCCAGGGTACTCTCCTCCTTGTCATGCACCAGGAAATGCATTTTCAAAAACAACAACAACAAAAACGTTACCACAAACTTATGAACCATGCAGGTAAGCTCTTTGAATAGTATTTCAATATGCTGTTGTTAGGTGACATCAGGTCGGTTCCAACTCATAGGGACCCTATACAGAACAGAACGGAGCACTGCCTGGTCCTGTACCATCTTCACAACTGTTGCTATATTTGATCCCACTTTTACAGCCACTGTATCCATTTATCTTGTTGAGGGTCTTCCTCTTTATCACTGACCCTCTACTCTCCCAACCATGATGTCCTCTCCAGGGAATAGCCCCTTTTGACAACGTGATCAAAGTACGTGAGATGAAGTCTCACCATCATTTCTTCATTTCACTCACTCTGGCTGTGTCTTCCAAGTCAGCTTTGTTCACTCTTCTGGCAGTCCACAGTATATTCAATATTCTTTGCCAACACATAATTCAAAGGCATCAATTCTTCTTTGGTTGTCCTTTTTCATTGTCTAGCTTTCACATGCATATGAGGCAACTGAAAATACCATGGCTTGGGTGAGGGATATGTTCATCTGCAAAATGACATCTTTGCTCTTTAACTTTAAAGAAGTATTCTGCAGCAGATTTGCCCAGTGCAATATGTCATTCAATTTCCCGACTGCTGCTTCCACGTACATTGTGGAAACAATTAAAATGAAAACCTTGACAACGCAACCTTTTCTCCATTTATCATGGTATTGCTTACCGGTCCAGTTGTGAGTTTTGTTTTCTTTATGTTAAGGTGTAATCCATACTGAAGGCTGTAATCTTTGATTTTCATCAATAAGTACTTCAATTATACCATGAGGTAAACAATTTAATGTGGACTATCTCATGAATCTAATCATTTAATATGTTGTTTCTGTAAGAAAATACGTATTTGTAAACTTAGATTTTAATCATGATTTTCTGGTATCACTGGTTCTTCTATTAAGTTTCTCATCATCATATTACAGATACAAAAATTAAGAGTAGGAAATAAAATTTTTATCTCAATAAAAATAAAAACAAAAATTTTATCTTTGCCACTTTATGCTTTGAAAATTCAAAATGGGTACTTCAAGGTACAAAATACCAGGTTTATATATTGATAAACAAGAAAATATTTATTTAAGATGATCAGAACTTTCCTGCTGAAATACATGATGGTTTCACCATCTAACCCACTACTATGGAATCGAGTCTGACTAATAGTGACCCTACAGGACAGAGTAGAACTGCCACATAGGGTTTCCAAGGCTGCAAGCTTTACAGAAGCAGACTGCCACATCATTCTCCCATGGAGCAACTGGTGGTTTCAAACCACTGACCTTTTGCCTAGCAGCCAAATGCTCTAATTATTGCACCATTAGGGCTCTTTACCACCATCTAGCCATGGCTAAGTACCACAGTTCTATTACTAGTACATTGCAAATACCCTGAAAGGGAAGGAAAAGAAAATCCTGGAGTTTTAAGTGGAATCAGGGGTTTTCCAACATGGAAACTATTACAACATTCTGGTAAGTTTATAGATATTTTGGGGATCTTTTTGGAGTTGGGATGCATAGCAAAACAAAAGTGATACTGTTAAGTAAAATGTACAACTTCCAGCAGATTTATGAGAGCATCAAAAGGACAATGAACATGCTACCATTTTACTGTTTCTTTCACACCTCAGATTTTAAATTTCAAGAGATTCTTCTGTTTAGTATAACAATCCAGCCAGCTTTAAAATGGGAAAAACAGATGCTGTTTTATAGAAATACAGCATTCCCCAAAGTAAAATATTTATTACAAATTAGAATGCTCAATTCAGGCAAAGTGTATTAATGGAAACTCCTGGGAAAAAGATCAATCATGACAAATATGTCACTGACTTCCAAAATTTTCTTCTGATTACCTTTATTTGATCACTTTTTTGCTCACTAACGTAAGAAAAACTTATAGCTCAGCTCTGTTTCTTCCTTTGGAATGTAGTAGTATCTCTGACATTTTGTAACATTTCTTGTATTTCAAATAGTAAAGTAGTGATCATGCACCAAGCTCAAAGTAGTGAGTGACTAACTTTAAGAGCCTGCTCTTTGAGACAACAAACGTGCTTACTGTTAATGACACAGAAAATACTCTTAAGGATAACCTACCAGTCCTGAGACAAGTGGCTGCTGCTACTACACAACTCTAAAGATCCATACAGTAAATGGATGACAAAAATAGGCTTTTTCCTCCCAAAATGATGGATTTAAGTGGAACAGCTACAATAGGGTGAGTATACATAAGCGGCTTAACTGCTGGAAAAGAGGAAGGCAGATGACTTGAACTACAATATCTAGCAAGAACTGGATCTGTGTGTGTTTATGTACAGAGACAAGCAGGGTTAGGCACTTAAAAACTTTCTGGTGAAATCCTGGACCTATATTTATTATTATTATTATCAAGCATACTTTCCATGAAAAAACATGCAAGCAGACACACTAAAGAGACCCGCATTGAAGAGTGCTCTGAAAATGAACTGCACAAGTTGTTCCAGAGTATTGTAATACCCGGATTATCATATTTCTGTATCATTAGTGGTAAACACCTCATTGAAAAATTATTAAAAAAATCACTGGTCACTAGACAGAGTCCTAGCTGGTACAGATGTTCCTGCACTGATACTCATCTGGTAAAAAAAAAATATGACCACCCAAATATTTTAAATATCACATCTTCTGTCATCCAAATATCTTAAACCAACATTTTAGAATTATTTTAGCCAATGATACTTTTGTTATCATGCCCCTACTACTCTATCATCATAATCCTTTAAAAAAGTATAATACTCTACATATATCAAATAAAAATCCAATGCTGTAAAAATCTCTAAAATGTAATGTTATAATGTTATCTAAAGTACTCAGCTTCATGGGATAACCTTCCTTTGCCCAGATGGGTTTAAAAAAATTCTTAATGTAATATGGCATGGCCCTAATAAATAGAATAGCACTAAAAAATCTTTATTGGCATCAAATACTATAATTATGGATATGAAAAGTTTTTAAATTTTAAAGTCTCTTAACATAATCATGTATACCTATGTACTAAACATACATAAAATTTAACTTTATTTAAGACATATGAAATAGGTAATTTCAAATCACACTAAACATAATAAATATAGAACTTGCTTTGTTAAAAATCTATAGTGTACATTCAAGTAAGGGCTAAACTTCCAATGCCAACTATATTTGAGACAGAAATTAAACATTTACAATAATCAGTTTCCTAAAAGTGCTATTTTCAATATCTATAAGAGGAAACTCTTCTAGTGCTTTTGTTTTCATCCAAACATCTATACATTCCTTTATTCACAGAACCAAATGCTTCTGTTACTAAAAATACATATCCAAAGCTTTTATATCATTTTAAATAGATTTAACTTTTTAGCTCTTTGGGGGAGGACAGGGATGTCCAGATAAACAACTCAGACCAGCTTTCTTAAATTATTGTAGATGACTGACTTTTTGACACACCCTGTTTCAGGTTAGATGTGAAAGTTTATGAACACAAAATGAATGAAGACCATTCTGGTCCCTATTTCTAAGGTAAGTCATCTTTTTCTACATGAGAATTTGTGTAGATCAAGGAGCAACCACTGTAGCAATCCTCCTGTGACCCAGGTCTGGATGCCATGCTCCATGACTGATTGAGACCTTCTCTTCCAACCTGATTTCGTTTAGGTTCTTCAGGAGTTATAGTCAACACACTGCTTGAACTGTTGGAAAAGAAAAGTAGATTTACTATCTCATTTTAGACTTTAGGTATGTCTAAGGTCTGATGACTTTTTTGTCTTGCACTAAGTAAATTTTTATGACACACCAGTCAAGGACATTAAAGAGAAGTATTTCAAATTATCTATTCATCTATCGATCCATCTTTTCATTTATCTATCCACCTATCTATTTATTTTATTTTTGTCATTGGCCTACTATGAAGCATGCTGCCCAACTAAAGTCTAAGGTAGATAGAGAACATGTTGATTTTGCAATCTAATATCCCCCAGATCCTCACCTTTCTACCACTATTTTTCAATCTCCCCGTGGTTTCCTTCCTTAATTTGTCCATGCATGTTTTTCTCTATCCATCCATTCATCCATACAGATATTTAATGAGTGACTACAGAATGTGGTTAAGAACCCAGACTATGGAGTAAGATGGTTAAGTTCATATCCCAGCTTGAATACTTACTCTGTTACTTGTGGCAAGTTAAACCTCTGTTCTTCAGCTCTCTCTGCTATAAAATGGTGATAATACTACTACTGATCTCACAGGGTTGTGGTGGGAATGACATGAGTTAACAGACATTAAGCATTATAACAGTGCTTAATAAACTAAGCACGAGGCAGTAACAGGCTTTGTGTCTGAACACAGACAGCTTGTATCTTCAGGGTCACAATCTTAGAAGTATGCTCTGCCACCAGCTTCAAAACAAAGAAACCTGCTTAGATGATTATTTTTAAATCTACAGAGTTGAATCAATCAATAATATATTTTTACCAACTGAACATCTTATGTAGTTTTTTTTCACAAAAATTTTCTAAATGTACCTTTTTTGTGACTTTGGTTCACTAACTTGACCTCATAATGTGGCAATCCTAAAAAAAAAAAAAAAAAAAAAATTAAGTTGCTTTTAATTCTAAAACTGGAAAAACAAATCCAGTTAAGAAATTTACTTACAACTCACTTGCTAATACTTAAAAAAGAAAAGAAAAGAAACAAATCTGCTTATAATTCAGCCTCAGAATCTCTATACCTCAGAGCCATTTCAGATGAGATCAATAATCTAAGTTCTGTTAAGTAATTCATTATACAAGTCACCTTGCATGGCATCCAAGCCACAGCCTTTTCATAAAATTGTACTGTATAGTGAAAGAGCAATGAGGATGGAGTTTTAGAAATTAGCTATATATACAACTAATTATTTTGCTATAATCTTATCACAAACATAGATCCAAGTTGTTCCAGGAGCAAAGAATCCCAATTTATCAAATAATTTAAAATTTCAAGAACCATATCAAGCTGTCCAGCTTCTCTACTGATAACTAGTTACACAACTCTTTTCTGTTTTCTTTTCCTCAGAAGCTAGTCACTGTGAATAGCTTACAGTGTTTAAATACCCTAACAGTGTTTTAAAGCTCTACAATTCTTTATGTTTTATGCCACTGATGTTAATATAGTCCTCAGGATGCAAGATACAGAAAAGCATTTTAAAGTCTATGTTTACAAAGTATTTTTATTTTTCAGTCTGTTAGTAAACATTTACAACAGACCAGGTACTGTTTTCAATGCTTTACATGTACTTTAATCCTCACAACACCCTACGATGTAGGTAATATATGTTATAGACTTTTTATCTTTATTAAACACAAAATAATGTGTCCAAGGAATACTTAAGCCAAATACTTCATAACTAAAAATAATTAGGTAGAAAAAGTAAAAGTTCAAAATACATAAAAGTAATTGAGGCAACTATGTTATGCTCTTAGATATAAAATGCACTATTTACCAATGGTGACTAGACTTTGTGTCTGTATTTATATAGATAGTTCTGACTGGTCAAATTTGGGTGATTTCAGTAACATTCTACATAAGAAAATACTCGGGATTTACAATATCTTTTGACTGTAAAGTATGTAAACTCTCACTTCCTACATTTAATCCATCAGTCAATCTACTGGCTCTCACTGCAAAATCAATCCCAAATCCAAGCATGTTTCTCTTCATGTCATGACTCTATCTAGCATGAGTGACCATCTTCTCTCACCTCAACTCCAATAACATCTCCTAAATGGATTTGTGGCTACTTTACTTGCCCCTATAATCTGTTTTCCACAAAATAAACAGAGTAATCTTTTTAAAATTTAAGATTATTTTTTCATTCCCTTGCTTAAAACTCTCCAATGCTTTTCCATTACCCTTAGTACAATATTGGAACTACTAATACAGCCTAAAATATTCTATCAATAAAATAGGAGCTCTGGTAGCATAGTGCCTAAGGCACTTGGACTGCTAACCAGAAGGCTGGCAGTTCAAACCCACCAGCCACTCCTCGGAAGGAAGGTTGGGAAATCTACTTCTGTAGTGATACTGCCTCAGAAACCCAAGGAAGGGTCGCTATGAGTTGGGGCCGACTCAGTGGCACATAACAACAACAACAAGTTCTGATATTTGTGTCAAAATAAAGGGAGAAAGATTACCACCACACTTTCTGACTTACCCCTTTGTTCTTTTCTATATGTCTCTATTTCACTAGGAAACGTTCTATCTGCTTCCTCTGCTTAGTTCAAAGTTAATCTTGGAATAGATTCTGAAGTATAGACATTTTATCTTAAAAAATGATTTATCAACATGAGACAGAATACCAAAATGCAATAGTTAATAGTTAATAGTAACGGACAGGCTTCCTGGGGGCAAGGAGCAACTTTTGTTCCCACACTGTCATCCTCAGGCTTCAGTGTAAGCTCAAGAGGAGGAGGATGGCTCTTGGTTCTTTGCCCTTTGGCAACAAATAAAAGCGGCATACCAGAAGAAATTGTAAAATATGTTCTTTGCACAGAATATTGAAACAATGTGCTTCTATTTAATACAAGTACTTAAAATATTAAGTAACTCATATAAATAAGACTGTGTTTTAAGCTGTATTGTATCCAATACTTAATTTACTCCAAAAGAGGCAGGGACCACATCTATCTTCCTCACTCCTGTCTTTCTAGTACCTGCTTAATGCCTCTAGCAGATACCCAGTAAATATTTGTAGAATGAATGGATCAACCTACTAAATTCCTCTCCAACATCTCTACCATTGCTAATACTATAGACATGCCAGCTTGTCCCCCACAGTGCAACTCTAGCAACTTTTGTAAATATGTGAAAAGATCACCTATAGATCAGTACCTATGTTCAGACACACAGGAACGTGTCTGACAAAAGTCTGAAGTAGAAGGAGAAGCAGGAAGAGATTTAGTAAGTTTAGATGTGCAAACTGGAGACCCGTTAGACACACTGTGAGGCTTCTTTTGCTGTGGCCTCAAGTGTACTGTAAGATTGTCCCGATCAGAACCTGTTGGGGGGAGGGGGGAGGAAAAAAGGCAATACATATAGTAAGGTATTAATATAAAACAGATAATGAACTAGAATGACTCATTTACACTTCTGTGAGTCAAATTAATTTGAATAGCCATTCTAGTCCCATAAATCTAGGTTATTTAATCCTGCCATTTCTGTTAAGCATATTTCACAAACATTTAGAAGGATCTAATTTTAAAAACAGTATTTCTAGATTGTGAACTGTCAAAAATTGAAGTAATTACACTCACAATAAGAGCTGCTTCTGGTATACGTCATACCCCCCTTTGACTTTAATAAAATAAAGTATTAAAGTTGATTTTAAATTCTAATTGGAGCACTCTTATTGGTGAGTGTTTTATATGAATAATTTCTAATATTTTATCTGCATGCATGTTCAGATTAAAGAGTTTCTGAAGTACTTACTTCCTGAGAAGGCACTGAAAAGTTTCACATTTTCTGAGTTCTGGTGGTCAAAGGTAGTCATATTTAAAAACTGTTGCTTTAACCAACTGGCTCTTTCTTCTTCAAATGCCTTTCTCTACCATAACAAGCAAACCAAGAAATACTGATTAATAACTTAACATCCACACAACTGCCATTTCACATAATTTCTCTAGTTATCTATTTGCTTTCTGGCTATTTAGAGTTATATTTTTTCAAATAAAATAACGTAGAAAAATAAAGATATTTCATTTGAGAAATTATATATAAAAAAGCAATCACCCATTTCACCTAAACCAAAAATTCATGTGACTCATAGTGACCTTATAGGACAGAGCAGAACTGTCCATGGCTTCCGAGGCTGAAAGTCTTCATGGAAGCAGACTGCCTTATCTTTCTTCTGAGGAGCAGCTGATCAGTTCAGACCACTGACCCTTTAATTAGCAGTCAAACGCTTTAACTTCTGTGCCACCAGAACTCATTTCACCTAATAAACCAACTAATCACTATTTTCACATCAATTTTGAATAAATGCAAATGGGTAATGCAAAAAAGGAGTATAACTTCTAAAGATACAGAACATTATAAATATAAAATGACAAACAAAAGAAAAGTGTCCCATATTGTAAATCATGCTTCTATAAGTGTGTGAGCCATTTTCCTTAGATAAATTTCTCTCTCTCTCTCTCTCTCTCTAAGCTTTACTGGTTTTGTTTCTCTAGAGAACCCAGTCTAACACACTGTCTAAAGCTGAGCAAAGATGTAATGGAAGCATGAAATACATTATTCATTTAAAGTAAAAAAGGTTACCGGAGAATAAAAGTAACAATATTATTAAGAAATTAAGAGATGTGGAAGAGAAGGATGATGGTAAGAACTATAATGATGCTAACTAAATACCTTATATTTCTTAGAGGGGAATCAATAGACATAGCAAGAGAAAAGTCTTGAAATATATTTAAGATAAAATACTGCATACCAGAAGAACTACAAACAGAAATTTTAATACCAGTTACTTTTAGGGAGTGAATCTGCAGATGGGAAAGGAGATTTTTTCAATTTGTAGCTTTTTGTGTGGTATATATTTTTTTCTTTTCTTTAAATCATGTTCAGGCATTACTGCTATAATTTTTAAAGGGGAATGTGTATGGAATGCGTTGCTAAGTGGAAAAAAAAAAAAAAAGGAAAAAGAATCTGTAGAAGTATAAATCCGTAACAATCCCAATCACTAACCATTAATGCATACGACCCTGGAAAGACACTGAAGATAGAAAGGGAGCTTTATTTTTTACTCTATTTCCTTGATTTCTGAATTTCTAACAACCATGCTTTTGGTTGCATTGTTTTCTGACATGACACCTATAGACAGTGGATAAAGGACATGCCCCAAAGAGATTTCTTGTGTGAAGCTAAACATCTACCATCTGAAAGCCAATCCAGAAAGGATAATGAAATGTTTACAGTTTTTCAAAGAGAAATTTTCAATTCCCAAAACTGAGAAAAGACAGATAATACCCTTCTGTAATAATTCATGTTCTTAGTCCTCCCCTCTATTTCAAGCTGTTTTTGAGATCACTGGTAAAACTAATTTAGGGAAAAACAAAAAACAAAAAACAAAAAAAGCAAACAAACAATGAAAAGCAAAACCGAGATGCATTCTATTGAGGCCTACCTAGAATTTTTTACAGTTCCACATAAATAAATTTCATGTTTAATACCTCTAATCCTAGGCGAATAGCAGCTTCTGTAAAGCTTCGTCTTTCTCTCTCAAAATTCTTTTTCTGATCTTTAAATAGAGACCACTCTTCTTTGAGGCGTTCCTTTTCTTCCAACAAATAACAATCTCGTAGTAGAGAAGCAGTATCATCATCACCTGTGGTAGCAAGCTGCTGCTAGTAAATTTAAAAACACAGTAAGTTCCAGAGGGCTGTTACAACAGCCCAACAAGGTGAAATAAACCATGGGAAGGCAAGTCAAACTTTAGGGAAAGGACAGAAATCATGAAGAATCAGAAAGTTAACTGAGGATTCTCATTTCCCAAATGCTACTACTCTAACTACAAAGCACCAACTATTCAAAGAATGGCATGTAGTCTGTTAGCATAAAGAGAAGGATTTAGTTTAGATGGGGAAAAATGCCAAAAACTGCAGATCTCATAAAATAAAGGGCTAAATATCTAGTAAAACTAAAATAAAAACCATACCCACAGCCATCAAGTCAATCCATAGTGACCCAACCCAACCCACTGCCATCGCATCAATTCCAATTCATGGCAAGCCTACTGGGTTTCCGAGGCCTTAAATCTTTACAGAAGTACATTGCCCTCTCTTCCTTCCATGGAGTGGCTGGTGGGTTTGAACTGTCAACTTTCTGGTTAGCAGTCAAATGCCTTAGGCATTGCCCCATAGGATTTCCAATAGTATAAATCTTTCCTGAAGCAGACTGCCTCATCTTTCTCCCATGGAGAGGCTGTTGGGTTCGAACAGCCAACCTTTTGGTTAGCAGCAGAACCCCTTAGCCACTGTGCTACCAAAGCTTAAAAAAAAAAAAAAATCTACTAAGATGCAGTAAAAATATGGAGTTTCACAAAAGAATACAGCTTTAAAAGGGAACTCAACTCACATTTACCTGTAAAAGTTGCTGCTGAGTTTTAATCATTTCTTTACACTGTTGAATTTCTAACTCGAGTTTTTCAGTTTCTTGTTCGTGATCTTGTCGTGAAATCACATCTTCATCATTAAAACCTTCTAAGTGTACCTTTGAAACTAACACAAACCCAGTAATTCAACATAGATTTACAGCCACCATTTAGTTTATGGTGTTTTTGAACACAGAATTTAAAAACTCAAGGCTCTCAGAATTTCCTTTTTCTGGAACCACAGGTTTTGTAAAAAGTAATTACTTCCTTTGGTCTTTTAACAATTTCATAAGCTATAATATAACATTAAATTTATACTATTTTAACATTGGAAATTTTAAAGCAAATCAACTGTAAAGTGTTCATGGCAATTAAATTCATACTATTCTGCAAATAAATCATATTCTTACAAAAAGAACTACACTGTCAATTTAATTTGTAATCCACTTTTATTAAAAATGGACAACTGGCTATATTCACAGAAGAAAAAAATAATTAACAAATTCATAAGCTACACTGTTGTTGATACTTACTCCCTAGTATTAAATTCAACAAATAAGTCCAAACATATTTACTAATAGATGGTAATGATTGAAATCAACAAAATCTCATAAAATTAATTTTGGTATTATAGTAAGTTTGCTGATTGATCTTTATCACCAAAGACAATTAGGAATGTATTTGTGATTTTGACAATTTAGAATAAATTTTAAATTGACTTCATTTACTGAGCATAAACCTTGATTTTCCTGATTTAAAAGCCTATAAACTTTATTTAACAAATATAAAATATTAAAGATATATTCATTAATATAAATGTATCTATACTGACAAGAAAGAATATCTACAATATATCATTAAGTAAAAAAAGGACACTGCAAAAATAAATATATAATATTCAACTTTTATTTTTCTGTATTTTAAGAAATATTTGCACATGCATAGAGAAAAGTCTGGAAGAATGTATGCCAAACTGTAATGTAGTGGAAATGAAGACCTGAATATTCTATTTTATATACTCTGTTGAATAGTATTTTGCAAGGAGCACTTATTATTTTGAAAATAATTTTAAATGAAAATATGCAAGTATCTAGGAATAAGAATAAAAGGTAATAAAAAAAAGTAAAAAGTACTTTTGTTTTAAAGTAAAATAAAGTAGTATTTCTTGATTTTCAAGATTCAGAATCAGTTCTTTATTCAACTGTGCCTTGCACTCAGAGCAGATGGATACTTGGTGTCCTCTTTTCAAAAAAGAGTCATTTTCAGAGCAAAGCACATTTTCCTCAGTGAGGTACTTCACATTTCATGCCAAACCTCAATGAGGTTTTTAAACCTCAGACAAAATACTGCTTTTCAAATCA